AAAAATACTTTAGATATACGCTATATCACTTTACTTACAAATCGTATTGTCTTGACGTTTCATGATGGATATTTTCAGGTTGGTGATAACTCCCAGATGGACCACCGTGGTCCAGTACTCCAGACCTACGCAGATTCCAACTAGGGGCGAGGTCATAACTTGTAAAATTCAAATCCGGACGGTACCCCCTATAAAAAATATGAGTGTTAATACAAATCCAATTAAAACATGAAAAAAAATAGCTAAAACGTAGTAAAATTGAAGTTTACCAGTCGTCTTGTTGATTATATAAAGTGGAAACATTATTTTCTGGCTGCTCATTCGCCTGTAGTGACAAGTTTAAATCAAGTCAAGCTCTTTCATCTCCAATCTGTCCGGCAAACGCTGCTCCAGAATAACCACCCGATGACTGGGGGTTATCCCTGCTATGCACGCCCTCATTACTAGGAACGTCTTCCACCTTGACGTACATTTTCAATAATTTTATTACAATAAATTCCCTGTATTTATCCGGAATCCGCAAAAAATCTCTAAGAGTTTCATCATCCTCGATGTTAAACTCAGAATAATAAGCAAACCCCTGGGGAGTCACTGAATAAGGAAATCTACCGGTTACTTTAAGGCTAACCGAACGCCTCCGCTCACTCATTTTTTTACGTAGCAACAATACCAATGTATTGTACTCCATATTAAGCGGCAATTTAACATGACACTGTGGAGGTGAGCTATACCTCACAGAGTTATTCTCCACCACAATCTCACCCCCCCAATACAGTGAAACCCTTATTTTTGGCACTTCAGACATTGTAAAAAATTGATTGATAAGGAGAAGAGAGAATAAACGTATGTTTGAAGTTTAAGTGTTGAATGAATTTTTATAAAATTGAAGCGCCTATAAATAAGGCAAGTCCGACCTTGGGGTGTACAATTTTTCAAAGTAATTCGCAGTATTATACTGCGTTTTATGTATTTGAATTATTGTTATGTCAGTTAATTATTGGTGGGGCCTAAAATCAGCCTATTTCGTAGTACTGTACTACGAAATGTCATAAAAAATTATTTTTTTAATATTTCGCAGTTTTATACTACGAAATGCCTTAACGGCAAAAAATCCGTTAAGCCAATTCGCAGTATAAAACTGCGAAATACCCATTATTGTATCTTTTTTTTTAACATCAAAAATGTATTTTATGTTCAAAAAATTATTAATTAAGTTTTGGACTCAAGATAAAAAAGCATTAAGCCAATCCAAGTGGTATTTCATTTCAACACGTGCATTATATAAAATTGCTGTTCTG